TTGTATATCATATCAATAAGAAGATCAAATTTATCTCAAATATCTTGCACATTAGAAATTAAATAATTAATTATGCTTATAATATTCTTGATTACTGTATTTTAAACGTAATGCATTTATATATACAATATATATGCTAACATTATTAAACAAGCAACTTCGAGAAAAGAATCGTCGACAATGTAATCGATGAAATCTTCCGACAAGGTTGCATTTAGTCGAATGACCATCGTTGTGTGCGTAGTGTTGGTTGCAAAAGCGGGTATCGCGGTTCTAAATCCAAGCCACAGAGTTATGCCCCTTAAATCCAAGTCAGGCCGACTGCCAAGAATACTTCGAGAAATTTACTGCTCTGAGAATCAAGGGAGCAATAACGTTCTGTAGGTTTGGAGTTATATTTCTCGATATATATACCTTCACAATAATATCTGTCTATGCTTGAAATACTTAGTGCAGATTTAACGTTATTACGAGTGACAGGAGACGTGGAATTTAACGAATCACTGCATTCTCTCAGCATTTTTAAATATATTTTATTAACTCCTCTGAGAGAATGATTGATACACAATGTGGCATGTATTGGTACAAATTCGTATCTGTCTTATTGTGGTATTTTTTAATCGACAATCTCTTCCGAGAGTAATCTTAGGTGATATGTTAAAAGGACGATTAATGCAATTAAATCAAGGGAAAAAAGGAAGATTGAAAAATTATAAATTATTTCGCCTATAAAAATTAGTGAATAATGTTGGAAATTGCTAATTTGTTTATTTGCAACGAAAAGATAGAAGGAAGTTACAGATATAATAGATATCTTTTGCCATATTTACAATGACTGATGTTTCTTTCAAACATTTAAAATAACTCTAGAACATTTAACAACTATGGAACAACGCGATGATATACTCGTAAATGCTTTAAAGCGTTTTTTGATTGATCAATTTGTGAAATTCTTTCTTTTAATTGGTTCATCAAAAAACGCTTTAAAACATTTATAATGAAACTTTGACCACAGTTTATGTCTTGTCATTTTACTGCAATCAATCTATATTTATTTACATGGCGCCCCGGAAATCGATCTTTAATAATTAGCTTAATGATTTCGGTGTACCAAAGATAATAACCAATGAATAATATGAGTGATTATGACTGCATTCAAGTCACGATTCAATTTTACGTATGTATTATTACATAATTGAAACATTCGCTCTTTAATATTAATCTTGATAACTGAAAGAGAAATTGAAATAGTATATATTACTAGACGCTTTCTCATTCTCTCTCTCTCTCTCTCTCTCTCTCTCTCTCTCTATTTTGTAGATTTGTTAATTAATTTAAAATTATCTTTTACGCTATGAAATACCGACATATTAATTATTGAAAAGAATTGAAAATTAGAAATTTTTACTAATTAGTTACAAAAAGTACAAATCGAGAAAGGATCTTTATTCCATTTCAAGCAAATATTACTTTTTCGACAGAATTTTAATTTAAATATTATTCTCTCTCTCTCTCTCTCTCTCTCTCTCTCTCTCTCTCTCCGTCTCTTCCCTTTCTCATCTCATGTTTTTATGTGAAGATAGACAATGTTGAATATTAAAAAGTTATGTAAAATATACGTATTATCCAATTAAATTTTTACTAAGGAAAAATGGATTCTACACACAAATTGCTCAAAGCATATCTATGTGAAAGGAAAAAAACGAAAATTTGGGATGCATTGTGTATGATTCACAATGTTACTCATGTTATGTCACGTACACAAAATTTATTTACTAATACTTCTTCTTTCTATATCTATCTCTTTTGCTTTGTGGAAATTAAATCTTGCATCTTAATCTGTTGCAAAGCTGACACAAAATTACCTTTGCATTCGTTAGAGCACATTAACACAAAGCTAATGTTTCACTACGTTAAGTCCCAAACGTAATTTTGCACTCGTTGAGGTGTACGTCATTAGCTTGACGAATAACGTCACTGGCAACAAAGCTAACAATAAGTTTACGATGACAAAGAATAATCACGTTTTCAGTGCAATTCTATTGCATGTTTTATTCTGAAAATTAGTTGGTCACAGACTTCGTGTATAATATTCTTATTTTTAATAAACTCTGCTATTTATTATTCACACATATAAACAAGAAATGTACTTATTGTATTACATAACTTTATTCATTCATAATGTTATTTTAAACCATATGCTTTCATTAAGTTCCAGGCAAAATGATTATATAGTAAATATATGATTATAAATATATGACTATTATATATGATCATTATATACGACTATATTTAAATATATATAATTTTAAATATTATACATTTGATATACAAAGTGATATGTAATTTTGCTATATTAAATGACTCTATGATAGTATTAAATTAAGAATAGAAGCAAAACAAAAGTATCGCCGAGCAAACAATCAGAACATAATCAAGAATTTATAATCATTTGCCTGGTTCGATAAAAGCATAAGATTTAAAATAATGTTTCTGAATTTAATGGACGAAATTATGTGATACATAAGTGCAGCTCTTGTTTCACGATGCTATGGCACGAACTCATCAATTATTACGTGAATATATAATGACATGATTGTGCTATAAATGCGTATTATATTAATTATGTTAAAACATGCACATAAATAATTATTACTAATCCTTCTTGTTCGAAATATAATTTAAAAAGAAATTATTAAAAATCTTATTTTTCTTGTGTATTATGTATCAACGAATACACAATTATCTATTATTAAACTGTAATTATAGAAACAGTGACTCATTCATGATATATTTTAAATAAAGAAAAAGCAAAGTTTTTTATTTTATCGATCCTGTATTAATAAACTTAGACTTTGCATATTTTTTCTACATGTATTTTTATTCTCTTTATTTCGTGTGTACATATATATATATATTTTTAAACTCAACCGAGAGATAGAATCTTCAACGACAAAAAAATAGAATCAATTAGAACCTCGGAATCATTTTGCGGGATTATCGTGCCGAACTTATTGTCGGAAATAATTTCCATAATTAATTGAGCGTGCTGCTTCACAATTCGATTACTTTTCAAACTTTGTAGTGCAATACCTTTTCGTCTTGCAAAAATGGCAAACAATTTATCATTAATATCATTTTTTTTACAAATTTTTTTAACTCTTAATATCTTGTTTTTGTGATTATAATTGATGATAAACATATTACAAATTGTAGCAAAGACACCGAATTATAAACAAATAAATATTAATAATATTTTTTGTCTACAAAATAAATGGAATCTGTCCCTCTTAATAAATTATTTCATTGACTATGAAGAGCTGACATTTTATCGAAGAAAAATAAAGAGAACAATGTTTATTTCACAAAAAAAGAAATAAAACCGATATCTTCTCACAAATCAGTATTATAATAGAGGAAATAGTGTGGGCTAGATTGTGGATTTGTGATTCAATCAGAGCATTAGTCGACTGAGTACCATGAGGTACGATATGCGATCATTGACCGTTCCATCTGCACGTATTGCGATATCATTCGATTATGATGCCTGGGTGAATCGTAATTATGTCTCGCAATTCGCAGCCGGAATGGGTGACAGTCTGATGGGGGATAGCTACGACAGCGTTAGGAGCGGAATAGGTCGTCTTAACAGCCCTGGAGACACGGATGGCACATAGAATAATAGGTTACTCCGGCAACCTGGGTTAGTCCTTGTTAGCAAGACCGAGAATGCACAATGTATGCAAACACTGTAGCGCGTCCTCGTATTCCCCCGAAATGCTCGAATTACTGTTCTTCGTCCAATAGGATGCTCACCTAGCTGTCAGGACGCTTTTGCAGCTCTCTTCGAAGCTAATGGAGAGGCGCGACGATCTGTTTTCCTTAAAGCACTTCAGCCATCTCGCGCGGCGCGTTTATCTCGAGGAAATGGTGCGATACGTCTCGCCTGTGGCAATTTTCTTTTTGCGAAATATATTGCCTCTCCCCCATATTGCGATGTCGACACGTCTCGGTATACCGAGACATGGCACTAAACATTTACATTTTCAACTGTTATTAAATGCTACTATCTTACGTAATTATTCATGCCTATCATGTTTATGTAGGTATATTAGAAAGGTCTATTAGAAGTCTGAAAGTACTTACCTAAGAAATGAAGATGCAAATCAAGTAAAATGATAAACAAAATAAAAAATGTATAAAATTCTTATAATCATATATTCTCTTCAAATAGTAGTGGTTCACGAATATTCTTGTTAATAAAGAAAAGCTGAGCTCTTTCAGTAGAATGGCAAAATAATTGATAGGTATTTTACATCATTAAGTACAGGAAATGAAGATATGTATCGGATAATATCATATCAAGTACGTATTGTGCAACATGTACGCCCACGTTGTTAAATTCAAGCACAGAAATTTCGTTCACGTTCGAAATGGAAAAGTATAATGGAAGCGTAACACAAGTATGTACGTTGCGCGAGTAAATTCGTCTCACGTACTGTAGAAATTTTATCTTCTCATGCCATTCGTTCTTTGGTCTTAATGGAGAGGAGTATGTAAGATCAAGTAAGGAAAGATAAGAAAATGAACTTGTTTGTGTAAAACAGATGAAACGTATTCTCTTTATTCGTATTCGTATGCCATCGAGTTTTATCTTACGCGATCGGACATCTCTTGACTTAACGGATGTGTAACGGATGAAATTCGGACATTAGTGACTATAATTCTAGGGCCAGGCTCGTGTCTATTTACAATAGATCTTTGTACAAAAACTAGTTCCATATAAACAGTAAAATCCACGTTCATGTGCCGCATCAGTGATCGGGAACGAAGACATCGCTCCTTAAGAGATTCTCTCGAGTTCGGCGAAGTCTTTTGAACGAATTTATTTTCTGTCTGAGTTGTTATAAAAATTTTGCGTACGAAAAACATGAGCAGTGATGAGCTTCGAATACGATCACATTAATATCGTTAGTATTTTGAGGATAAGGCTGGAGAATGAGCTTTGATCGAAAAAATAATATTCTCGATCGTATTACCTTACAATTGTTGTAAGGGCATCTACTTGAAAGTAATTTTAATAGATTGTAAAAGTTTCAAAAGAATTAATATGTCAAGATCTATATATAAAGACGTCATTTTATGCGCGACTTGAAAACTGGAAGTATATGAATAAAGTATAAAGCGCTATTAAAATTTTCTTTAGCTCGCTTTGACCCAGCCTCATCTCCCTCGTTATTGACATTAACTACTTTTAGGGGTTAGACTCTTTGTACATTACGATATACCGTTTATACCTCAGTATGGCAGTAAAGAAATATTTTTGGACATGTACGGGTACCTCTCTAACTTGCTAATGTCATTTCACCTCGTCTTCCCCGTAAAATTATATATGAAAATGTAGCGCCGTCCCCGGCGGCATCGGCAACGTAATCTCGAGGAGAGATCGCGTTCCCATCAATACGATCTGAAACACATCATCAGCCTCTCTATGGTTTTGTACAGTAAACGTTAAGTGTGTTTCGCGGAGTGGTTCGAAACTCGTGTACCAACTATGGGAAGATACCGCGTTAGACTTCGTGCTCGCGTTTCGGGGATCCACGGATCTCTACGCTGCTCTCCGCCCGTACTCGTTACATTTACACGTGTAAATATAATCGCCGGCGGCGTCTTAGAAGCTCACGAGGTTGATCCCGCAGGGATACCCTTCGAACTTATATACAGCTCTCCTGTATCCGATTCGAGCGTGTCACCACTTCAGGTTGATGGAATTTGCCTTGCGCGGAGATCGACGATGAAACGGGCCTCTGTGGCATCGACGAGAGTCCTTTGCTCGTCCTCTGAAGGCTATAATATATCTGAAAGCAGGAAGCACGTCCGACATTCATCAGACTATTTTATCGATTGAAAGAAGATGTATGTGTTATACAGTACATTCGTTTTAACGTGCGAAAACAGTATTAAGCGCACATTCGTCAAAAGATTTTAATATATTCAGTCAAAAGAATTTAATCCTTTCGCTGATGACACATGTACACAAAAGAAATTTCAAACTAAATTGTGTGAAAGCAAATGACATGTGCTGATTCCGTCCAGAAAAACTGCCATAAACTTTTATTTCTATGAATAAAATAATTTTTAAAAAAGATAAATCATCTGTCTTTTGTATTCTTTTTATTCCATGATCTCGATAGCTTAATATAATATATATTTTATAAAGTTGTTATTATTCGATGATAATTTTAATAAATTTTTAACATTGTATACTACTTTTTTAGTACCAATTATTAATTTAACAAATCGACGAACCAATTATTGATTAATAAATTTTTATTTCTCGTCGCGTATTTTTTAAATATGACACAATTAATTTAGCTGTCTAAATAGAAAGCAATCGCTGAAGAAGAACAGCGGAATACGAAGACGAGTTACGCACATCGGGACTGGCCTCGTCAAATTATCGAGAAAACTTCGACGTAATTAAACTTACGAAAGCGCAGATAACTCAAGATCCTGCTAAACCGGAAAAGTTAAAGTGGGAGACTGCCGCATATTGAAGCAACCGATTCCTCCTCTTGACTAACTTCCCATCACTTTGCTTCGAGCTTCTAATATTTAAAACAGCCTTTCTGATTTTGCTTTGCGGAAGTTAGACGCAATATTTCAACGAAGATCAAATCAGACATTAAAAATAAAAAATGCAGCGCTTATTTGATGCGTTCGAAAATAATTCGACCTACTTTTTCCATGTTCCTCTTCGCTCATTAATTTGCGCGAAAATATTAAGAAGTTTTCTCGTTCAAAATTTTGTTAGAATATTAAATAAGTATTATTTGTAACGCAAATATTGTAATGTTATAAGTCATATTGAATTCACTTTCTAATCTTAATACAATTGCATTTTCCTTAAATCATATAGTTATCATGGATTTCTTCCTTAATAAAGAATTAATTTCTTATGATTTAAATAATACTTATGGATTAATGACGAAAAAATAATAAAATAAGATGCAATATTATATTACAATCACTTACGTTTTGGTTGTTACGCTGATTGTAGGCGTCCATCGCCATCTGCTTAAAATCAGCCATCGTGGGCGGATGATTGTAAGCGCTTTGTTGAGACACGTGATTTTGCGGATAATTTATGGTAGGCGTTGGCAGGCAGTCAGTCAACATCGGATCCGGAGGCAGGTCCAGACCGTGCTGTACGATCGGCCTTTTCTCCGGCGAGGCGTCTTCATCGCTGGCGCGATCTTTCTTTCTTCGTTGTGGCGGTGTCTTATAGACGGGGGTATATGTTAGGGGTCTTCTTTCTGCGGACAGATTTACGGAAGCCATGCAGAGACCGAACGACTAAGCCGCTTAGTCGATTAAATCAGGAGAAAGGAGCAGTCATCTTTTTTATAAGTACTTTATCTCTTGTAAATGTGAAAAAACATAAGCTTCACGACTGATTCGTAGTTACGGTTTCTATCTTTTTTTTTTTCGAGAAAGATAGAAATTGTGCTAAAAAAAAACCCTGCACGAATTTGCACTATTCTATCGATGAAACTTTCATTACGAAAGGCGAAATTTATGAGAGATCTCTCGATTTTTAAGTATTTCAATCCAACTTCATTTCCCGATATTATCATTATTCACGTAGTTCGCTCGCCGCGACGTAGTTCGCGTATTAATATCGCAAATGGAAATGTATTTTCATGGAAAAAGTAACATCGCGCTGAAATGAATTTAAATGAGAAATTTGTTTCATGGACTCGTTTGCTATAAGTACAAAAACTAACATTACGTGTTTATTATTATACACTTGGAAAATGATGCCAGATAGAAGGGTTTTATTATATTCATGTTCACGCAGATTTAGAATATTTTTTCGAAAGTACATATTTATCAGCAATATATTTATCTCTTTCGAGAATATTTTATGGAAGTTCTTAATTTGATACAATTATAAAGTTAATTATACAAAGAGCTCAGTTGAATTATTGGCAGGCTAAAAGATTCATATAATTCACAAACGAAGTCGAACGTAAATTATAAAATATCGACTATTGAATGTCGATGTAATATTTCTATATGCCGCTAATAATCTAACAATATTACATTTATGCATATATAAAGATTAACAGAATATACGATTCAGTTTACAAGAAATTTATGGATAATATAATATGAATTTATTGGAGAAAATGGGAAAAATATTTATATATTATATATAATAATGTTGGTTTAAATTTTTAAATTAACAACTTGTTTAATTTAATTTAATATTAAACATACGTTATGTAATTTTACCTTTGTTAATTGAAAAATACTTTTGTTAATTTCAAAGAAACGTGTTGACTCGTACTTTGCCCGTTACTTATTATCATTTGATTAAACATACTGTCGTTATTGCTCGTATTATTGCATCTCTCTTTTTCGAAGTCTGCAAAAATAGCCAACGATATTCTCATAGAATTCTTTAACACTACTAATATTTATTTAACTATCTCTTATCAAGAACACATTGAGATATTTATTTTGTTTATTTAAAAAATGTAGTATTGTAGAAACGAACAATTAAAATAAAATATATTTACATTCATCTATACCATGCGTTTTAAAAATGAAAAGTATAGTTAGTATTTCATCTTATGATTAAAGTTTGGAAACTTATTGAAATTTTTCGTATATTTAGATAATTTTACTCTTTAGTAATTTTATATTTCTTCGGAAAAAATCAATATCAAATATTGTTATTATTATTATTATCATTTCACTTCTATTTTCTCCTGGTGATTTCGACAAAATTGAAAAATAATGCATATGTGATGGCCCAGCTATTTTCTTGTCGACATAAAAAAAGGCCAATATACACAATTCAAATTGCAAACCTTTTCCAACGAAATACTGACGAACTTACCATACTCGTTGGGTATGATGTCCGGATCGATGTCATCGACCGCCTGCTTGGTCTGAGGGTGCACCGGGGTGGTTGCACCTGCATTAGGCGGCTCGCATACGATGGGAGCGTGCTTTGGACTTCCGGGTCGGCCGGTGGAGTGCTTCCGGTAGAGCGCCGCTAGAATTCCAGCAACGGCCAGGGCCAAAAGGGTCGCCATGGCTGCCAAGCCCAGCAACAACGGATTCAGCATCGATGCATCGGTGTTGCCTGCCGCGACAGTCGGTGCAAAATGCTCGATCAACTGGAACTTCTATCGATCTCTCCGAAGGGATATTCCTACTCCCTCACTATATAGTAACGCAAAACCCACCCCGCTTTTCCTAATCCTACGTTTTATCCAACGCGAAATAGAACTTTGCTATTTGTAGGAAGCGCTATAAGTAACTTTTCTTTTATCGCTCGTTTTCTCACGTCTCGATGAAAGGAAAGAAAGAAATAGCGATACGGCGATATAGTTAAGGGGTACAATTGGCTTTTCGTATTTTTCGATTACCAACGCGGATTGTATCGCATCACTCGTCGATCGTCGCTGCAAATTCGTGAACGGAATCCAAAGATCGTAGTAAATGTTTTGTACGTTTTCCAGTTACTAAATGACTTCGCCAAGCATATTTGTTTTGCGTTTCCAAGCCTTCTCCTTTGTACAAAGGAAGGTGAACAAAGGTATTAGAAAAGAAACGATTCAATGTTTCTCTATTACCGACTCGTGACACCGTCCCATACAAAGAGTACGTATAGCGCTACATCGAAAAGAGATCATTGAACAAGAGCGCCTTGATACACATATTGCAAAGCGCTACTCTGAAAGTGGCCTGATTGCAAGAGCGAAACCTCCTTTGTGATAATGCCGCTTACAAAGTGACGCGATCGCTAGAGCTTGAGATGCTTCAGAACAAAATCTGCTACTGTTGTCCGACACAAGGTAGTTTTTCAGATAATACGATAATATAAATATTTACATAATTACGTAAAAGATGTTTCAAAATTTTATCAGAACACATTTTAAAGACATTTAAGGTTCTGAAAAGACGTCTAAAAGTTATCTTAAATAAGATATTTTTTGGAGCACGTGCAGCTATTTACGTTCATAATATTGATTAGATGATATAATATTAATTAGAATACGGCATAGCAATCTGGATAGAACATAAAAGTATATAAGGTAAATGTAGCAATTGTTGGACGAAATGACAACAAATTTAAATATTGAGTTTTTGTATATATATATGTATATATAAAACTTTAAATAAATGTGTCTATAAAAATTTGATAAGACGGATTTATTTAGAGTCATACATGTTAAAGACTTAATTTCAAAACTCTACAATTACGAAGCCATTTGTACAATATATTCAAGTATTCTATTCTGATGAAAGAACGTAGAGCAGTATTTATATTTTATCTTTCCCTTCTCTTTTTTTGCTGTAATTACTGATTATCAAGAAAATAAGAGCCATCAATATCAAATGGCCGGTTTAATAAGGATAATAATAATCAACGAAAGTATGTTATTACTAGAGGGGACTCGATTGCAGTTCAACCCTTCTACATAAATGTCCTGTCGCATCGGTGTAATATATCGCATATATACGAACACCTACATCCTGCTGACCCGCCGTTTTCTGCATGCACGCGTATGCGTATCTCTCTTTGCATACAAGCGCACGAAGCGAGCGTATCTCGCCGCAAGGAAGATATAATTACATCAATTAACGCACACCCTGCCGCGCGCGTACACCCGTAAAACTACCCCTTCCTACAAGAACATTCGCGCAAGTCCATCCTTTCTCCGGGTTATCTCGAGCCAGCTCGTGTCACCCCTAAATATAAACCGGTTCATGTACGTGAGCATCGGAGACTATGTCCTGTCGACTCCGCGTTTCCTCTAATTCCCTTATGTCATATCTATTTTGCTTAATTTTTTTCAGGCAAAATCATGCTATACGAACTACCATTTCAAACAAATCCCTCTCAACGCACAAAATGCGTTGTGTTTCGACCTGTTTACTCTGGAAAAATCTTTAGAATAGAATCTAACTCTAAAGAGTGAAATTTCACTCTTAAAAATTGACAACTGATTACCACTCTTTTTCAACACTGGTTTAATTGTAACTCTTTGTCACTTTTTAGAATTAGATTCAACTCCAAAAATTTTTAAGAGTAGATATACAAAAAAAATATAACAGAATAAAAAATACAGAAAAATTACAATTAATCAGAGAATGTGCGGTATTATTCATACATGAAACACTTGAAAATATTGTTATTTTATATCGTTGCAAAGCAATCTTCTTAACAATAGCGGACACTGCAAATACAAGTTCCGTATTTTGCCATTATGTTGCTCGTGGTAACTAAAGTTTAAACGAGCGGTAATTTCTGAAGCGACTTTCAGCTCAGTTAAAAACACGAAAAGACAGCGGTGATGCGCCTTTTGAAGCTCATTTAATGTTAGAAGACCGCGGCCCATTCAGGATCTTAAAGGAATGAAATAGTGTAAACGAGATCGCTCCTAGGCTAGGCATGTTCATTAAAGCCTTTGAAGCTTATTCATTTTCTTAGTTTATTGTTTAAAGAGATATAATGTTGTCTTTTTTTCGTAGTTATCCTAATATATTATATATCATTTTTTTATGTATACACACATACACACACACACACACACACACACACACACGCACACACGCACACGCACACGCACACACACACGCACGCACACGCACGCACACACACACGCACGCACACGCACGCACACGCACGCACACGCACGCACACGCACACGCACGCACACGCACACGCACGCGCACACGCACACGCACACACACATATACGATGTAATACGAATTTACTTATTAATTATTTAAAGAAAATATTACATATAAATCATAACAATTTTTGTCATTAATAAGGTGAACGTCCCAGTGACCGGTCACGTACCTATAATGTCTGGACATTTACACAAAACTTTATTTGTTTATATTATTATTAATTTCAAATGTTTTTTAAATATAATATTATAATTTAATTATAATCTTGAAATGTAATTAAATTATAATATGTAATACAAAAGTATTTGATTAATATTATAATAATAAATGTCGTGTAAGTCTCCAGACATAGGTTCATGTCCGGTCATTAGAATATTTACCTTAATTAGCCTCTATTTAATCATCTAATTCTAGCATCTTGAAAGTATGGCACTTTAATTCTTTTTCTTAGAATTTATATGAAAATAATTTTAATACTTTTTCTCTTAAATTTATGATACTTATTATGTGGACATTGGATTGAAATGCATTTTGTGTACATAAGTAATTATATTCTATACTTTGTTCTTCAAGTTAATTGTTACATGATTACGCGTATAAAGGAAATGGCATGTACTACGTATCCGCTCGGTAAATTAATGCTTCTGTTTGAGCAAATTCTATCTTACGCTTAGTTAACGGCTGTTCCGCATGAATATTGCGGGCTGCAACGAGAAATAGCGAAATGTAAGATTATTATTAGCCGAGATTTTAAGACATTCTATTGTATTTCTACGTATAAATATGGAATACAAAATTACATTAAAGTAATAAAGAAAATGATAGAACAAAAATATTCCTTTTCTCAGTTTTAATATTTCGTATTATTTTATATTTAATTCAGCATTTATTCAAGTTTAATAACTTTTACTGTTATATTTAAACAGCACCTATAATAAATATGTTTAGATTGAGCGGTTATATATATAATTACTTTAATATATATCATGGATCGTTTATGTTTGGATTAATTTTCATTACGTTTATAACGGTTTACAAATTTATTAAGTAATTCTTTATACATATATTTTAATATCTTTAGAAAGTATTTGCACAGTGACGCATAAAAAAAAAACAAAAAGATAACACTATTACTTAGTCAAGTGCTCCTAGTATTTCGAAGGAAAGAAATGCGCAGGACACAAATATAAATAACTTCATTATGTATACTAAGAGATAATATTAGTACATTTCAAATTGAGGTTTTAACTGTTCGTATAAATAAATAAATGCGTATTTTAAAGTTAGCCTTGACAGTATATTCATCAAAAGCATCGCGTGCTTGCGTAAATTGCAAGCGAATAAATTCTCTGCGAAAGTCCATTATGCAAATATTATTGAGCGAGAGGATATGTACCTAAGAGAAGCGCTTCTTAAGGGCTTGCTGAAAAAAGATGTTTAAGACGCATGGCATTAAATACATAAAATTTCATCTTGCGGGCATAACGACCGAAGTTTGTTAATAAGAAATTGATAGATTGCTCCTTGCGAACTGTCGGTAGTAAAATCTGGATAGCGTTTCTGCTTGGTTAATATATGATAACCGATTAGACAGCCGAGTGAAAAGAAAAAGTGATCGAATTATTAATCGAAACGAGCTGATAAAATATGTGGAAACCGACGCGAGCAATTCCAATTACATATATACAAGAGAAACCGACAAGAAGAAGCGACTTGTCATGTTTAATCTCAATGTGTCGGCTTCGTAGATCGACTATCGTCGTTGCCGATCCGTTGAAATTTTTAAAAGAGCCGTAAATTCGCTGTTATCCTGTGGAAGACAGAGATAGTTGGAATTCTCGGCTTGACGGGTACCTAGGGAGCATTCGTGATACTCGTTAAAGTTTGATTAGACTTTGATTGCCGGCGGAAAGCGGACCAATTTAAACTCCGCCTCGCGGACTGAGAGTAAAATAATAAAAAAACGAAAGAAAAAAAAACGAAGGCGGGAAGAGAGGGAGAGAGATAAAGAGAGGAAGAGAGAGCAAGTGGAACGACATCCGGCGACCAAGTGAATGCGGACATTACGTCTCGGCTTTGCTGCGTTCCCTTCATGAAAGAATTTAGCTGAGAGCAGAGCTGTCTCTCGCTTGTACACCAACGCGCAGACAGTGTGTTTACACCAGGATATGTCCTCAGCACCAGGAGTAATTAAACTTTTTCCAGTGTGAAATTGCAGAGCTGCGCCGATGGCATCCACCGGGGTTCAGTTGCCCAATCGCGTCAGAAAATTCTAAAAGCAGGTATAATTGCAAAAAGAAAGAGAATAATAACGGTCAATATCATTTGAGTTACATCATGTTTCTTCACGTGGCAAGTTACAAATAATAATTTTCTTTCGTCTGGCTTTTTTTGGAGTGAAAATATTCAGCGCGGCGGGCGCGATATTCGGATAGAATA